GAACCTCACGTGGGATACAAGACAATGAGAGTATAAGGTGGGAGAAAACCAGCTAAAAATCAGACACAAATGGTGTAGTTTCCCTCACAAGGGTGTGCTATGGCCTTCGACCTGCAGAGGGGCATGAGTGAGTGCAACTTAAGGCCTAAAACAACATCTATAACTCACTGTTATGGCTTGAGACAATCAATTTTACAGCAAGGGATAGGCTCTCAACAAATCTCAAAAAACACGTTCCAAAACTACACCAAAATGCATGCCATATCAACCACCAATGCAAGGGACATCGTAACACAAGATGGGATCAAGGGGGCACAGACGAAAATTCAAAATCACAGCTAGAGTTCACTGTTACGGATGAAAGTGCTCAAATTTCCAGCAACATAAAGTCCCTAACAGTTTGGAGGAATTATGCTCAAAACTACACCCCTAGATGCATACCATGGAGACCTTTTTAAATGCAACAATCAATGAGCTTCAAAGGAGAAAGGATAAAGTAAGTGAGTTACTGTTATCGTTATTTACAGCAGCTCCTTCAAATTCAATTGACAAAGTGAGTGCATGGCTAGGTGTGTGGCCAATCTTGGAGCTATCCCTCCATCAACAAGTGAAGACTATACACACTAAAGTTCAAGGAGAACTTTAAGGCTCATGGAACAAATGGAGAGAAGGATGGAGTGGGGTGTAGCCCATCTAACGGAGGCTCACAAGTGAAGAAGTTGAGAGATAAAAAAGTGAATAATGAGGTGGGATAGATCCTATTTATAGAGGTTCTGAGTGTCGGCTTTAACCTAGACAGTGTTAAAAAAAGTGGACTGCCTAGTGCCTAAGCAGTCGCCTAGGCGGTCTAGAAGGCTTGGGCGCAACGTCCAAGCCTAGGTGGTCAAATTGGGCGGCAGTCCCTGGCCGCCCGCCCAACGCCCAGCCCTGAGTGGCTGCCAAGGTCCTGCGCCCAGCCTTGGGGCAAAATTGTTTTCTTTGTTTTGTTCTATTGCTTTTTTGTGAAACATAAAGGCTTTTAAGAACCCATTTTAGAGATAAAGAAATGTCAAACACACTAAATTTTGTTATTTTCATTGGATCAAAGTGTTTCTCAAAGTTACGAAAAATGGATCAAAACAACATCTAGGTAGATTAGATTTAGTTTTGAAGTTTTGTAATCATATTACAGGGTGTTTTTTATTATTTTAGCACCTAAAAACATATCAGAGGTAGGAGTTTGGTGTTTGAGCAATCAAAGTGAGTGCAAAACGTTATTTTTTAGATTGCTTGCTTGCTTTATTTTGTGATGTCTTCTTCAGGATCTAGTCAAAGTGGAGATTTGGGTTGGGAATATGGATATAATCCGAATCCAAATGACATAAATTGTATTAGATATAATTATTTTGAAAAATATACAAAAGGGGAGCATAAACCGGTTTAAAAAACATCTTGCCGGTATTAAGGGGATGTTGCCCCTTGTAAAAATGTTCCTGAAGCTATCAGAGAGAAGATTAAGCAATATATAGTTATTGGAAACAAAAACATGAACAAAATCCTTGTCATTTGAATAAATCTATTTATGCTTCTTTTAAAAGAAGTGATTCGAGTTGGAAGTATGGTTATGATCCAAAACCAAACGATAAAAATTGTATAAGGTGTAATTTTTGTGAAAAAGATACCAATGGGGGTATTAACCGATTCAAGAAACACCTTGCTGGTATTAAAGCGAATGTTGTTTCTTGTAAAATGGTTCCTGAAGCTATTCAAGATGAGAATAGACAATTTCTGAATTTAAAAGAACCAGCAAATGATGAAAATGAGCCTTGTTCTATAGAAATATCTTCTCCAGGTTCTTCTAAAAGTGGTGATCCGAGTTGGAAGTATGGTTATAACTCGAATGCGAATGACAAAAATCATATTAAATGTAATTATTGTGGAAAAGATACAAATGAGGTCATTTACCGATTTAAAAAATACCTTGCTGGTATTAAGGGGAATGTTGCCCCTTGTAAAAATGTTCCTGAGGCTACCAGGGAGGAGATTATACAATATTTGAGTTCAGGGAAGCACAAAAAGATAGAAAAGGGTAGAGCAGCCAAGACTCTTAGGGCCTCACCTGGACATACTAATAAGAGGGAGGTAGAAGAAGAGGAGGAGGAAGATACAGATTCAGAAGAAACAAAGGAACATGAGCGTTATATTGAAGAGGGAGATGACTCTGATGATGATGACCTCGAATCTGATGCATATGATGAGGCTTACCTTATTCCTTTTGAAGATAATGATGATGATGATGACTGTAGACTCTTGGTGTTGAGTGTTGAGTGTTGACTATTGTGTCCTAGACTGTATATTTTTTGAATTTCTGTATATATTTTTTTCTTATTTTTAGTTCTACTAGTTCTACTATCTAACTTTTGTGTGTACAATCTACAGTGTATCAAACTATTAGTGCATGCTTGTATGGTTTTACTGTTTTAGCATTGTATGAAAATATGAATTATGGTCTTATGGATTATCAAAATTCTCTTCTCGTATCTTTTTTTTCTTTTAACTGGGAATATGGTCTTATGGATTATCAAATTTCTTATGAATTAATACTTATGGATTATCAAAATTCTTATGGATTATCAGAATCAGACTATCTGTTTTTTTTCTTTCCAATTGGGCCGCCCAGGTTCTAGGCATCCGCCTAGGCAGCTGTCTAGGAGTCTTGCTGTCTGGAACACCATGGTCGCCTGAGTGCCACCTAACGCTTTTTGAAACTATGAAACTAGATTAGATCTTGGTCATCCAATGAGTGATCCAAGGGTTGAGAAAGGCTAAAACCCTAGCCTTATTAATCAACATTGGTTGCTATCATATAAATGATGATGATCAAATACATCTTTATCCGTATGCCTATCTGTCACCTCCAAATTTCCCATAGTTACACAACTGTCCTTCAAACCTAATTTTGAATTTAAGCATATCTCAGCCATTGATTTTGAAATCACTTGATCACCACCATCAATTTCGAGTTTCAAAATGCATCCTTCACATAAGGGGGGCATGCCACCTTCTGTCTCTCTCTCTCTTTAAGGCATATACTTGTACTCCACTTCATCTAATGTAGTGGCACTTTCAAAAAGGGACATTACATCATCATATGTCATGAGGTGTCTCCTTATCCTTTCACCAACAATCACATGCTTTTATTCATAAGAATCCATTGGCCCACAAATCACAAACACTCTATATTAAATATTTTGAAAATTTAAAATCCTACACTCGCATGTGTATACACAAACATGCTACCACACATGTGCCACGAACTTACACTAAACAAAGTTATGTCCAAAACCAAACAAGGCATATGCACCCAAAACCCTGTATTGTCCATGTCATCGTTGCATGGAAACAATGTGGCAGTCCAGTGAGTCCCACATGTGGCACACGTTGGACATTTGCGTGCCACACACCACACATGTGAATGTCTTTATTTGGAATTTCACATCAGCAATTTAAACAACCCATTGAAGCTAGGTTTTGTTTGCTTCAGCCAACTTTTACTTGTTTGTGAGTTATTTCTCTCTCTCTCTCTCTTTTCTGCTCTACATAAAAAATCCTATAGCTTTTGTTGAATTTATGTTCCATATGCCTGCTGTCTCATGCCACCACATTTACATATATGGAAAATTGATGTCTACCTATTGCAGTGATATGGCATATTACACAAAATATTGATACATTCTTTCTCACAAGGTTATTTGGGTTCACAACTAATGCAGAGAACTCGAGGCAGCTACACATGCAATTTTGGAGAAACCCTATGGTTTCCTCCCACCTAGGGCTCAAGCCTTGGGCTTCTTTTTCCAAGACAGTCTTTTTCTGAAAAAAAGGCATTAAAAACTGATGCAAAGTACTTGAGGCAGCCAAATACATGCAATTTTGGAGAAACCCTAAGTTTCCTCCCACCTAGGGCTCAAGCCTTGGGCTTCTTTTTTTCAAGACAATCATTTTTCTAAAAAAAACGAAGACGTGAATGCCTCCTCAAGCCCATCCGCACGCCTTCTTTGTATAAAAAATTTCTTGTTTTGGAGAATATTTGTCTATACAACTATTGACCATAACGTCCTAATTTAAGCATGACTGGAAATTAAACTCCCTAAATTTAAATAAAATGTCTAAAAAGTCTTTAACTGGTCCAGTAGTGAAATAAATATAAAAAACATCTGAAAAAATAACAAAAAAAAACAATTCGAAGTATGTCTTGCTCTTCTTGTTCTTCCTCGAAGGCACCTAGGGTTTTCATCCTCAATACGAGCGAGAATAGGAGGAATCTGTTTCTCCCAAAGAAGATACTCGTGGCTACTCGTTTTTCTCTAATTATCATAAAAAACGATGTCATTTCATAAATTATTGCATCACAATGTTTATCATATATTGCATCTACATGATTTTTGAAGCGTAGGAAATGCGCACTCTTTCTTCAAGCACATGTGACACACGATTTCCACAACTATATCTCTTAGGAAAATCAGTGGACACAGTCTTTGATGCAGCAGAAAATTTGTGATATCAATACATATACTGTAAAACCATTTTGTAGAATTTCAGCAAATCAATTCGTATTTGGATTTCTAATATGATCATAAAGAAACCCATGCCTTACATTCATGGCTGCTTTGAGTAACCTGTTATCAAGGATAACAAACTACACTGAATGGTATATGTTCCTTTTACTTATGTAATATTTATCTTTTCTTAGTATCTTGCATTATCATGAATCTTAGAGGAAATTGTCATTGTTCTCAAGCTCTTCTATCTATTCTAGTTTCTTGTATAACAAAATCGTGAAGTATACTATTGTTGAGCCATGGTAATTGTTTTATTATTCATGGCTTTCTTTATGATGTTTGAGTTGAACGTTTGTCGTACTCATGGTACGTTGCAGTTCTCATCATCTGAGCTTGTTTCAGATAGCTGTTGTGTGCCCTACATATTAGCTTATTTGACTTCTTCTACTTTTGTTTTAGATTGCTCGTCGTCTATTAGGAAAAATTTTGATTGATCTACGTAATACTCGTGAAGAGGCTATTAGTGTTGCTGAACCAAAAAATGATCATGTTCAAGGGTTGACAAGTTGCAAGGCTAGACAGGAAGACAATGATTTCCTAACCAAAATTCAGAATAAGACTGATGATGCGAGGCGATCTAGTTCCACAAGTGAAAAGTCTTTGGATCAAGATGATGACGATGATAAAGAGACTAAATACCGCCTGGATCCTAAGTATGATTTATATAGTTTTATTTTCTCCATGTGCAAATAAGGTTGAAACATTGAGCTCGTTATTGGCTTTTGTCAGATATGCCAACGTCAAGACACCAGAGCGTCATGTTCGTACACGTCTTTATTTTACATCGGTATGAAGTTTCCTCTCTCTTTACTTTATTTTCACTGAGTTGCCGATTCTCATCCTTTAGGTTTTTAGTATGCATTATTATTGTTAATGGGAATGTTTTGGGTGCCATGCTATTCATGCTAATGCAACATTATATTCATGTTGGAATTTACCTGCGTCAGTATTATTTGCTATAAACATTTGAAAAAACTTATTTTGCACATGTCAAATTTATTTTGTCAGGAGGAAAAAAAGAAGAAGAAAGACTCGTCGTACTTAAACATGATTTTACTTGAATCCTAGCTTTTTCTGATGTGAAGTAAGAAATCCTTTCATAGGTAATTCATTTCCTAGGAATTTACAAAATCACTTTGACAATTTACTTGCATGGAAGCTTTGTTGTACAAGTTGTTGTACTTGTATAATACATAAAACAAGACACGCATTAATCTTAACTTTTTCTGATGTGAAGTAAGAAATCCTTTCATAGGTAATTCATTTCCTAGGAATTTACAAAACCACTTCGACAATTTACTTGCATGGAATCTTTGTTATACAAGTTGTTATACTTGTATAATACATAAAACAAGAGACACATTTTTTTTTCTCATCCATCACGTTCATATGCAAAAAAATTTGTTTAATTAAGCAACATTGATGCACAATAATAACTCTTGCTAGAACGTATCTCGCTATGGTAGATACCTGTTTTTTCACATACGACATTGATTTTGCTGGTATTATCTTTTGTTTGCAGTATGGTTTGGATTAACACACATTTATTAATTGCCTGCCTCTCACTCTTGTAGCCTAATAATACTGTTTATACTTTAATCTCAACATGCTTTTGTAGGTGGCACACTTGGAGCAGACAAATACACGTTTTGCTTAATAACTATTTAATAGCCATCTAGATAGGTCAGATTTGAGTGGATATGGTTTTCCTTGCACAAAAAGGTGACCCCAAAATCCTAGATAGGGCTTGCGGGCACAATTCACAATCCGTTTTTATTGTTCAGGCCTCAAAAGTTTTAGAGACTCTAATACTTCAGGCCCTTATATTACATTATAATAGAAAAAGACCAAAACTACCCCCAGTTAAGTTAAAACATCATACAAATACCTCATAAGTCCCTTCGAGTAAATTTGTTTTTGTAATGGCACTTTGACCCCTAATAAAAACAAGTAATTCCATAAGTATCCTAACCACTTCTCTAAACATCTCCTAAAATCCTAAAAAATATAAAAATCTTAGACTCCCTAAAAAGAACTAAAAGCCCTAAAAAATAAAACCTAAGACTAAAATAAAAAGATACATCCTCTGAAATTAAACAAATATTAAAACTAAGAATAACTTTTCCCTCCACCATTATTTCTTGGTTGGAGAAAACTTGTCCTTGATCTTTGAAGTGTGTTAAAATGGATTATGCATTAGTCTTACAACCTTCTTCATCCCGAATGTTGTAAATGCAATCTTGTGACTTGTGGGTTATTCCACTAGTCAAAACCCAATGGCTATGCATTGAAATTGAGTCTTTGCAATCATTGATATATTCATAAACACTTTTGAGAACCCTCGAGAAAAAGGTCATTTTATATCGATGGAATAGCCTTGATATGTACCCTCGGTTCAACTGAAATTACACTGGTACAGCCATTAGACCCTGCTGAAATTGCCTGAATTCAGCCTTAGAATCAACCAAGGAGCATCTTTGAGATGATCATCTCCAACCCGTTGTTCACTAACCAAATTAGCAACTTACTCATCCACAACTTCTTCATCTTTATCTTGACTATTGTTCCCTTCCTTGTTTTCACCCAGTTCTTGGTTAAAAATTGGATCCGTATCTTCTTTATCTGAACACTCATCAAAGACCCGTGGAAAGTTCCAATCAATGAGTTGTTGATTTTGGAAGCAATTTGATAAATAATCCTTTGGGTTTAGCCAATCATCCTCGTCTACTACTCGGGTTATAATCATGTTCTGCTGGATCACCAAAGCCTCCCTGTGGTTGCTAAATGTAACTTCTGGCTCTTCTAGTTTAGGTTCCTCATCCCAAACAGGGTCTTCATTTTGTTGTCCTCTTCAAGGAACTTCTCTACAAAGTTCATAAATTTTCCATTTAGGCATTGAGAGGACACATGTTTGACTCCTAAACACTTAAAGAACATAATGATGCTGCTGTTTGGGCAATTTGGGATACTAGAACTGATCCCAACACCCACTATATCCGGTTGTTTGGACGTCTAGTAGGTCGTGAGGACTGTCCAGCCACCGAATTCCCACCTTTCCGAATTCCCACCTTTCCCCTTAAATTTGCTTCCATGGGCACTTTTATTGCCTTGGGATGGACCCTCTATTAATGATGGATGCCTTTGCTAGTTCGTAAGCCTTGTCTAATGTGTAGTAACACACAAAACCACCACATCTTATATAGATGTTCTCAACCCACCAACATAGCGAACAAAAGGCTATTCCAACTTTTTGACCACATCATTATACCCCTCTACACTCTTTTCTCCTCCTAAGTATTAATTTTGGGCTTTCCAATTCTCTCGCTTTCCGTTCAACTGTTCTGTCTATACCGAAGCACCTTTCTTCATTCTAAGGGAAATTTATTTAACCGTTTTATTCTCTGGCACATATTTGTAATAAAAGACCCTCTCTACCATGTTTAATTAGTCTGTAAAATCATTGGGCTATGATTTTCTTTCAAAATAAGGAATGTCTACTTTTAGATCTGTGGATTTTGAGTGCCGCCCATACCTCCGATCATATTCCTCGTCACTCGACTCATCCCATGGAGTATGATAGTGAAAAGGATTGTACTCAACATCATATTGGACAAACAAAACTTCATCTCGCCCACGATTGATGCCTGCATGCGGCCATGTAAGTTATTGAACTTGTTGGCTCAAATATTCTATCTCTTGATCCTGCTCATTATGGGGAAGATCCATATGAATATCCCTTCCTTGACCTCTTCTTGTTGCTATAGGTTCATCGAAATCATAAACCCTAGGAAGAGAACCAACAAAACTTAGGCGAAAGCAGCAAATCCTTGACTGATTTGGCAAAACTTAGCTTAAAATCAGCCAACCCTAGACTTGGTTGTAGATTCCCAGCTTGGTTATTGAAGAATACCTAAGTTTTGATACCAATTTGATGCAGAAATATATAAAAGAGGCAAGAACAGTTCAATAACCATTAAAGATCTGGCTTTCCTTGCACAAACAAGTGGCCCCAAAACCTAGATAGGGCTTGTTAGTACTATTCATAGTCTGTTTTTACTGCTCAAGCTTCAAAAGTGTTAGAAATCCTAACACTCTAGGCCCTTTTATTATATTATAATAGAAAAACACCAAAACTACTCAACTTGAGTTAAAACATAATAAAAATACCCCATAAGTCCCTTCACTTAAAAGAAAATTCGTAGTGACACTTTTACCCTTGATAAAACAAAATTTCATAGCACTTTTCTAAACATCTCCTAAAATCCTAAAAAATATAAAATATCTTAGACTCCCTTAAAAGAACTTAAAAATCCTAAAAAAAACCTTAGAGTAAAATAAAAAGATACATTTTTTGAAATTGAACAAATATTAAAAGCAGAATAGCTTTAGCCTCCATCAGACATGGGTCTATGATTGCCATTCTAACTAGCTGTGCTGTTTAGTGAAAGCTTGTTTAACAATTGCCGATCCATAAGTTTGATGTAGCTTTCTCCAAGGTGGGATCCTTGTTCTCCTAGACTGCCCATCACCTCTGATTCTCAGGAGCCAACTTTCTTATCAAATGGATGCCATCCTTGATGAGCTTAGTTTGAGATTCTTAATTTATGCAAGAAAAATCTTAGTCATCAAGATCTCTCAACTTGATGGCGATCTAGGCAATTCCACACTCCTGGAGTGGGATCTTAGGTCGATCCCGCTCCCATATGGGGGAACACAATCCGAAAACCCTTGTTAGACAGATCTTTTGTGATGAAAAAAGTCTCAAATGCATATCAATGAAAAATAAAAAGTAATTATACTGCAAAATCATGTTTTATACACTTTTCAAAGGGAAAAGAGATGTTTTAATCCATATCTATATTAGAAAGAAAGTCTTTAATGCATCTCAACCAAAAAGAAAGAAATGTTGATGCAAATTCTTGTATAATAAATTATTTTATCAGGAAAAGATGCTTATATCCAAATCAATTAAAAAAAAGTAGTTTTAGATGTAAGTGTTTGATAATCACATTAAAAGAGGGATGGTGTGTTCAAGTTTAGAACTTTTGATGATTTTTCTCTCTTTATATCTCTCTATGTTTGTTAGCTAAGGGGTTGGGGAAGAAAGGGTAAAACCTATTTGGATCTGCACCTGTTAACATAAACTTTTGTATGTTACTATGCATGACTCTATATGATAAGACTGGATATAAATAAATATGAGTTAAAAATTTAGTTGAAAAAAGTTATTAGTAAGTACATTGAATAAACGTTGAGTATTTATCTTGTATCAAAATATATTTATACGATTTTTGTGGCTCATTTATTTCGTAATTTATATAGTTTTTATATATTTGTGTAAGAGATTCTTCCTACCGACAATCCCTGGTCTCACTCCTACTTTCAACAAATATGAGAAAAATACATTTACTTGGTCAACATTGTTATACATAAGAAAATGTATAACGATAATACCATTTACTTTTTATATAAGGTCACATTCATCATTGACTGTTGGACATTAAATCAGGTGGTTGAGGAAGTGTCATTGTTTGGGCGCAAATTCCTCATTAAGATTTCTCGAATGTTTTGAAACTTTCATCTTTTGGATTACATATCCAATGGCTAAAAGTGATTGTCTCATAGGATACTATCCGTATACAAAACTACTGATTTTTGTGGCCCATGACTCCTTAATTATATCCTTTTGAATCATAGTTATTGGCTAATTGATTTAATAGTTTTCATTCTCTGATAAAATGAAATACTAATGATGCAGAACAAAATTATTCTTATTTTAAAGTTTTATTCAATTACAAAGAATGTATATTTTAATGTTAACTTTAGGTTTAATTTTTAGGATTTTTATAGTTAGAGAAATAGTTAGAGTGTTTATGGAGTATTTTATTTTATTAGGGTAAGATTGTTATTATGAATTTTATTTTAAGTTAGGACTATTTTAGTAATTTCACTTTTGGTTAGGAGAATTATTGACTTTGCAATTATAAGTATTGAATAAAGAGAGGTTTGTGGATCCCTATGGGGAGATTCATATGATTTGCTTCTTCGCTATGGTTTACCTAATTCAGCCTAGATCTTGTTGATTTCAACGACGTTTTGTTGATTCTCTACCTAGAGTTTGTGATTTTGGTGAATTGTTGTGAACCCATAGTAGTGAAGAGTTGTGGAACGACTTTTGTAGACCCACTTTAATCCAAGAGATGAGACGACTGAAGACATCAGAAGACAATTCAGCAACTTACACAGCAGCTCGCAGACTTTACTCTTGGGAAAGAGGGTGATCTTTCCTCTCACACAGATGTCAAATTTAATCTTTTTTATTATCGTGCTCTGCATGAAGAATTGAGTGAAAAATAAAGTGACAGGAGACCTAGATATGAGGGACATCACTCTGGGTTTTTGATTTGAAAGAGGACATTTTTATTTTTGGGGCAACTTGTATTGAAAATCAGTCGGCTGTAGATTGGGTTTTGCCACCAATCTTTGATACATGCTCAGATGAGCAATACGATCTCTTAGGGGAGTTATTCTATGACAAGGATCAAGATAACGACAAAGATGCTTTGGAAGAGGATGTTGCTCATGAAGAATATGGAGCGAAGGCAACAGGGAGATTGCTAAAAATCATGACCTTTGAAGATTTAAAAATATCAAAGAGGTAGAGCATTCAAGAGATTTAGGGAATTAGAATTAGAGTAGTGCAGGGGACGGTGGTCGACTCGTAAGTCGTAATCTGGATTCAAAGAGTAATGAAATGGATGTCAAGAAATCCTCTAAAGGCCAAAAAATTGGGTTTGAAGTTTCCTACTCAATTTTCAAAGCAATTGCTAGAATAGCCAACTTTGGTAAGTTTGTGTCAATTTTGTACTATAAATACTAGATCTGTCTTTTGAGGATCTCTTCCTTGTACCACGAATAATCTTTGAGAAAACAAAGAAGAAGAAGTTGGCTTTGATGGTGGGCTCATCTTAGCCTCTATGAGGACGAGTTTTCTTCACCAGAGGAGATTGATGCAGGACAAAGTTATTCTTATTTGAAATTTTAGTCAATTTCAAAGGATGCATATTTGAATAAATTTTACGATTTAGTTTTAGGGTTTTTAAGCTTTTTAGGAATTCTAGGGTGTTTTCTTTATTTTTAGGTTTTGTATGATTTGACTAGAAAAATAGTTATAGTGTTTACAAAATATTTTGCTTCATCAGGTGTAAAATTATCATTACAAAATTTATTTTAAGTTAGGACTATTTTAATACTTTAGTTTGGTTAGGGCAATTATTGACTTTGTAATTAAAGTATTTAATGAAAAAGAGGTGCATGAATCTCTGTATGGAGATTTACGTGATTTGTTTCAAAGAAAAAGAATGAAAAACTCCAAGTCATTCAAACCCTAGGTAGGGTTTCAGGAAGAATCCCTAGGTTTAGTTTGCTAGTTGTGTGTGTGTGGGCCTGAATTATTGCTGTATTTTTTTTTCTATCAATTTTCCTACATCGACTAGGCATCCTTAATCTCTTTCATTTGACATGAACAACAGAGCTTGAATGAAGAAAAATCTGATCCAAGTTATTCCTGACATCACAATACATTTCAATAAGAGGCATACTATGTACTTTTTAGCATCTAAAAGGGCCACACCCTTGACTTTAAGTTATTGTTTTGTTATTGTCATTTTAGATTATTAAGTTTCTCCATTCTAGCTAGTTGTATTTGGTGTTCTATCATCTGTCTGCATCACCCAGTTGGGCATCAGCATATGCTATAGTATCTTTCGTGCTATGGTAAAGATTTCTGCTCGTTGTGTGTTTGCTTCTCATGAAGGTCGTCATGTAGTCCTATTTTGCCAAATCAATCTGAATAAACTGGCTCTTTTATTTTGAAGGTTGAATACCACCACTAGACTTATGGCTTGGCTGCATCTGGAGAGTAAAGTCTGATTTAATTTGATTTTTCTATTTTCTTTGGTCAATTGCAGTCTCCATCTAAGATTGTGTGGCGATTCGTTTTTTGTGAAATAGTTTAGCTGTTGAAATCTTGTTAGTAGCTAAAGGCAGACCATTTGGATAGAATTGACAAGTTTTTCAACTGGTTACCTCTTGTCTCGTACTATGAGTTACACTTTCAAGTGTTAGATTTGTCTCTTGCTTATGGTTTCATAGATGTAACAATTCCTTGTCCTCTCAATCAAGTAACATTCGTCCTACTGCAAGGCATCTCTTTTATCATGTCTGCAATAGGCAATGTGGAAGATTTCTAAGCTCTCAAAATAGATTGGCCTTGATTAAGCTATTGAAGGGATTGATGATTATCTGATGTATATTTCTCTACAAGGCTATATTGAACACTTGATGGAGTTATAAAGAAGTAAAAGTGTAGTGGTTGTTAAGGGGTAAATATAGTCGTGTAATATGAAAATGATGACTATGATGTGTATTATTTATCTGGCAGCTTGGATTGTCCTCTCCACCAGTTTGTGACCTAAGGACTGTTTTCATCGTCATCATCATCATCGTCAGAGCCTTTTCCCAACTATTTGGGGTTGGCTACATGACTTGTGGTCTACCATTCTGCTCTATTAAAGGTCATACCCTTAGTTAGGCCATAAGTTCCCATATCTTTTCTCACTACTACTAACCATGCCCTCTTGACCCTACCCCTTGTACTTTTTTAGCCTTCGGCTTGAACTAATTCGCACATCCTAACAAGTGATATACTAGGTATGTGCAGCACATGGCTAGCCCACCTAAGTTTACTTTCTCTCATCTTATCACCTATTGGTAGCACACCTAAATTCTCTTGAATGCATTCATTCTAAATTCTATCGCTTCTTGTGTTGCCACTCATCCATCTCAACATCCTCATCTTAGCTACACTCATTCATGGGTGTATCATTTCTTGATCGTCCAACATTCCGCCCTATAAAGCAAAAGCTAGTCTCACAGTTGTCCTATAGAACATGCCCTTTGGCTTTATTGGTATACGATGATCATAAAACTCCGGTTGCACATCTCCACTTCACCCACCCAGCTGTAATTTATTTGCGATATCTTCCTCAATCTCTCTATTCTCCTGGATTATCGACCCAAGATATTATTATGTGCACGATATCTTCCTCAATCTTTCTATTCTCCTTGAGTAAAATGGCTCTTGTTATCTCTTCATCATTTACCGTTATGGTCTGTGTTTTTCTTCAGTAGTGAGCGTAATCTGTTTTCCTTCGGTCGTGAGTGTAATCTGTTAGATGTGTATAACCTGTTGTAAGAAATCTGAGATGGTTTTTTCATTTTTATGTTATTTTTTAACTGTATTATTTGCGCTATTGCAATCCATAGAATGATTATGTATACTCAAATATCAAATATATTGTAAAACAATTATTATTTTCCTTACAATATTTATTTCTGTTTGTGTGCTTTGAGTTTTTTTTTTTAATGTTTGAGTGACAGGAGTCACATATACATTCTCTGATGAATGTTCTTCGCTATTGTAACTTGGATGAGTCTCTACAAGGGGAGGAGAGCCTTGTGTGCAGAAGTGCTCTAGACCGTCTATTCAAAACCAGAGAGCTTGATTATATGAGTTACATTGTCTTGCGAATGTTTGAAAATATAGAGGTAACTACCCCATCTGTCTCATGCTATGTTATTTTGATTATTTATTTATTTTTGTTAATGTTCCTCTTGCAGGCTTAATCTATGTTGTGATAACCTTATCATTGTGGTTGACTGTCATCTTTTTTCTCAGAACAAACTTATAATTGTGGTAACTTCTGCCAGATTGTTTTATTGAGTCAAAAAGATGCACATATGTTGGGATTTAACCAACACATCGGTCTATTCCCTGAAATGATGGATTTAGTTCTTTAGATATATTGGACCATTTTGATGATGCTAGATTCTATTAGTTATGAAGATGTTTGTATTTGGTGGGTATCTTAATCACATACCATTCTTTTGTGCATCATATGTAATCCACTCATTTAGGTAGAGGGTGCTTTTGCATTGTATATATTTTGAATCAATAATAAATAAATGCTGCGAAAGTATTAGGCATGAAGTAGATTAGTTAAAACTGAAATGCCTCCATGGAGATACACTGCATCTTTAATTCCTTCGATACAAATAGTAGAGAAGGAATTTGAATTCTAAAAGAAGCATCGCAAGCTTCAAATTTCTCCACATAAGAGAGAAATAATAAGTGAAATCAAAGCCCCCCTTCCAATTCTACAAAATAATTATTTCCAATGCCCTACTAGTCATGTCTTAAAACTTAAGCACCCAATTATATTCAAAATAGAAGTCCAAAACCTCAATACGAGAAGATTCTTGGAAACCTATAAAGCGTCCCAAAATAAAACCCCCCAAAACATATCTTGTTTATGCTCGAATGTGTCAATCTCTGATGTGAGATCAACTCAAATTCCTACAAAACTAATTAAAATTTTATGAATCGATAGAGAATTTGAGTCAACCGATGCAAATCTGACAAATCTAATCCTTCCTTGGTCTACTAGCAGCACCAGCTATAAATCCACCTCTACTAGATCGTTAAGAATCTAAATTCTAAACTAAATTCCTAAATTATCAAAATAAGCTAGAACTAAGATAATAATGAATTAAAAAATAGAAAGAAATAGAGTACCTACCTCAAGGGACCCGAAACCTGAAGTTTCTAGCTTGGATCAGGCCTTCGTTCGCCACCATCTTCTTTGCTTGAATGCTTTTTGTTTCTGAAAATTTGTTAGAATACCTTAATTTTCAGTTTTAAGGCTTCTAAAAGCTTTAGGATTCCTAGATTTTTTGGGATTTTTTTGGATTTTTTTGGAATTTTCCCTAATTTTCTAGGGATTTGTCCTAATTTCCTGGATTTTCTGGGCTTTTTTGGGTATTTCCTAAGATTTTCTATATATTTTTTGTGTAAGTTTTATGGATTTTCTAGACGGGTTTATATAGGTTTTGCCGGGGCCAAGGTTGATGTTTAGGAATTAAAGTTTGAGTCACAATCGAACTAGGATAACAGCAAAATCGTCAATCTTTGGAGTTATTCTATCCAAGTATTGCCTCAAAAGGACTCATCGAGAGGCTTCTCAAAGGCTGTGCAACCGCCTCTGGACCCATAACCCTGCACGAGCCGTCGTGTGGATTGTGGAACAGGCTGCATATCGTGTGGCCCACATGCGACCTGCCGTGGCTTGCGAGCCGGGGACCTTTTTGGTATTTTCCTGAACACTCTTCCTCTAGCCTTATCTTCTCAATGGTAAGTTGGATTTTGATGATTCTTGAACCCTTGTAAAGCTCTCGAGATCTAGTACAGCTTAGGCTAGGTTTTGTGTCTTTGAGACAAAAACTAAGGGGTCTAAGTTCATTATGATTCACTAGGCTTAGTATGCTCCTTAAGACTCAGAATTTGAGGTTTTTAGGAATTCCCTTATGTCTGAGGGGTGTCTACATAGCCCCTAACTCCCATAACTTTTGGAACCAAAATTTTCCTTACCCGTGACTGGTGTGCCTAAATGTCTGGAAAAACTTAGTGCTGGAACCCATAACAACTTTTTTTGGGGGCCTCCTAAAATGTCCTATGTCATGAGAACTAACTCATCATGTGGAAGTCAAGCAGAATAGCAATGCATCTATATTATCAAATCATACTTCCCCTGATCAATTGGGTCTATTTCTTTAAGTTGGTACCCCGGCAAATTTGCTTATGAATTCCTTGTTCTCTTAATATTTAAGAAAAGCCACCAAAAATGACCAATAGTTTGTTGCTATTTATGTGACCTATCTCAATCATTTAATTTGGTTGGCCATTAGGGGAACAATTACTTTAGATTTCTCTTGCAAAAGAATTACAACATTTCCACTACCAGTAAGATTTCTTCTGGTTTAAGAATAAATGGAAATAGTTTTAGTTATTATCATAGGCATTTGAATCAATGGTTTGAGACTGCTGAGTCCAACATGGACACAAGTGAGTTATTGGGAACCAGAAGTGTGCTAATTCTGGAGGGTACTCAACTCATCGCCAGCCTTATTGTAGACTAAACTGCCAGAGTCTTAACAATGACTTGCTCGATCTTTTGTTGTAAATGGGCGTATCCCAAAGGGCTCACCAAGTTCAAAAGTCTTTCATATATGGAAGGGGGAAGGGGTATGGAAATATGGCACAGACCTAGTAGCTTGGAGCTAGAGTTTAGCTAAAAGAATATAGGGAAGTTCCAAAATTAGAGAAAGATGCAAAAACCATAGATAAAAGGAGTACCAGCTGCTTTAGGATTTGATAAAGTCCACAACAAGATGCTTCATTATATTTGAGTACATCCCTTATATAAGAAAACCCTAAATAAGACTTGATCTTCAACCTGTGTCTAATCTAATCATGGTCATTCATTATAAAAGACTTAAAGTGAATAGAAAGACATAAAAGACTCTAAAAATTGCTACTCATGATCCTAAGTGAATGAAATGTGCTAAAAAATAAATAAAAAACATAAAAGGGCATGTTCAATGACTATTTTCCCCTTCTATGGTTTCTCATTTAAACTTTAAGCTTGCCTCTCTTATCTTGACACTTGAGAGCAGTAATAGGGTTGCATCAAAATATGTTCCCCCTTTCGTTCTTGTTCATTGAATACAAAGCTTGGAGTTCAAATCACTCTGATCTTTCATCCCTAACCATGTTTATGTATTCTCTAATGATTTCCAACACAAAGATTCAGTAAAGAAAAACAAAGACTTTGAAAATCTTGGATTTGTGAGGGGTTTCGAAATAGGGTTTGGTAGACATCCACCCCTCTTTTGCTTGTTTTTTCGAAACCTTGCTCTTTTTCACCCTTAACATTTGCCCCAAGGGCTTTTTTGTGTTTTCTATCGAGTCAAAGCTTAGATTCAACACAAAAAAACAGTTAAATTCTTGGATTTGCGTGATTTGGAATATCAAAATAGGATTTTGGCCAAAAACTTGGAGTGCATTGGATCAAATTAACTATAAATGTTAACTTTTCTTCATTTTTCATTCTGTATATTCCAAATTTTTATATGATTTATTTTTCCTCATTTGCCTATTTTTTGGGATTTTTACACCCTTTTTTTCTTAGATTAAGGCTAAACTTAGCAAGTCAACTCTGGACTTGCCGAGCCAATGCCCTAAGCAGTTGCTGAGACGCCTAGTGAGTTTGAGATCTAAAACATTGATTTGAATGATTCGAACACAAGTCAACTCAAGATTCTAGTTCATCGTCATCAACATACGAGCCTCCCTAGCTATTTGGGGTCCGCCACACTAGTCCTGTTTAGTTGTTCTGCTTTATGAACAACCATATCTTCTATCATATCATAGGTTACCATATCTTTTCTCACTTTTTCAATCAATGTCCTTTGGGGCCTTCTCCTTTCCTTTTTAAAACCTTCCACTTGAACCAAATCGCCCCTCCTAATTGGTGTTATTCTAGATCGATGCTGCGTGTGACCAAATAACCTAATTCTACTTTCAACCATTTGTCCCTTATTGAGTTTCACCCAATGGTTTAAAAAACGGATCCGTGACCCGGATCGGGCTTCCAAAAAACCGATCCGGATCGGCGAATCGGCGATCCGGATCGGGAATCGGGTGAATCAGTCAGAATAAAGCTTAAAAAAAATTCGAAAAAATTATTAAAATTCATTATAAATATTGTTTTTTAGGAATTCAATAAAAAATGAGGGTATTCCATTAAGAATTTTCATGTTTTTAAATGAATATGCGAATATTGATATGTTCTTTCCCTGCATGAACCGCCATTCAGCATTTAATTTACAGTATTTCATGTTCATCCCTACACTGTTGCTCTTGGGACTCGATATGTGAATAATATGGCTGGGATAGGGTGGCCTCAGAATCATCATCTCTCTCGTTTTCTCTTTGACTAATATGGAATTAAAAAAAAAAAAAACAAATTTTC